GATGACCCTCCAGAGGATGCCAGCCACAGGAGTTGCCTAACTACCGGGTGTTTGTTTATCTACCGCTAGGTGAACAGAAGCATCAGGCGCGTTACAGGACCACCCAAAATATTCATTACGACGTATGAATCTGTAATGAATTATTCTCTCCTTTTTCACCCTGCAACATTGGGTTTCAGCTCATTTTGACTTCCATTTCCCAACACTCTTCTGCTATAATAATTCCCAACCTATCATATAATATCATTCGAAATTGTGGATGAAGTTGGTTAGTTCCTTTTCATCTAGTTCATTCTATTTTCCTTGTGTTATGCTAAACGAGTATTTTCTCATATCTGGCTCATCCGTGCTTCTTACACCCATGCCTTCTTGTTATAGTGGAATTCATTGTAAACTTTACCATCTTTTCCAAATTGTAAATTCTCCCCCTAGTATTTTGTCTTGTCTCTTCTCTCCCTTCCCTTACTAACTGTCGGCAATGACTCCAACTTATTTTTTTTTAGTTAATTACATATGTTTTCATATATCTATATATGAAATCTACCATTATATCTACTATATCTACTGTCATTATTATATTTGTTTCCTTTACATCATGCTACTAGTAATTAGGCTCCGAATTAAGAAAACATGGAGTGACGCCCAAAACCAGTCACTAGGCTACAAGAGAGATCCACACTAATATTTACTATGGCATCAGAATATTATGAACACATACAAAAATTATAATACCAATGAACTCAAGACGCATTGCGTGTGTGTGTAAGACCCTCACTAGGAGCGCTTTAACAACCGATGAATGAACAAAAATAATCAGGATATAACCCACAGAACGCACATTCCCGTGGCGGTTAACGCTGGTCGTCCTGTTAATGAAAGCCGATAAACTCCCTGGGTGTCCGGTTACCGGCGCTGTGTGGGGCGTTTTCCGGGGTGGCCCGGACCCGTTGTGTGAACAGGTCCGGGCGGACCCCACCACTAACCAGGATAGGCCTGGTTTCATCATCTCTTCTTAAACACCAGAACCCTTCATCCTCACAAGGGAACAAATAGCACTTTACCTTTCAAAGTCATCAATCAAAACATCTGTGAAAACACTTGTAGCCAGCAAGCACAAATATCTTTGAGTTGGTATGGACAGTCACACCAAACAATTTGCATCGTATGCTTAAAAACAAACTTCGCAAACAATAGTAAAAAATATTGGCATCAATATTAAATTAAGACATTATTTTCCAAATTAATCCACCATGGCAACAACACAGACATTGAATCTGCCTTTTGCACAGTTTACGAACCGAATGCACAATATGAGTTCAAGTTACTTTATCCCGTAACCAATAGCGCAGGGCCCCACGCTCTTGCTTCTAAATAGTGGTGGTGAGCCTAGCACAGGCACTGCCATTTATAAAGTCGTATAATTGATAATGCTCCAGGACGGATCGAAACGTTATCGTTTATTCATTTTTCAGGTATGTGGGTTTTGAATCTACCTACCCTCTGTACAAGAGGGAAGGTAGATTGTAAATTGATGTCTTTGTCCAGGATAGGAAGCCAGATGATTGGGGCTAGCCACACCCAACGTTACAGGGGGAATGGTCTAGGGTACGTGACGGACATAGGCTAGTCCGTCACGTCATATTAGCATAGGATAATAGGACGTCAGTTCTATTAAGAGGGAACAAGGGCAAATTCCGGTTGGTACAGTCGAGTTCGTTCTTGACTCACAATCGAGAATTCCTGGTGGGCCAGAAGTGGTTGGGCACATTTCCTATCGCCTAATGCGCCCGTTCACCTAGCAGCAAATAGGTACCCAGGATTTAGTCAACTTGTTATGGGGTTGCATCCTGGGAAGGGTCAATAATTCGACCTGGGGTGGGGGGGGGGAGACCTTGATATAAGCTTAACATATACTGTATGCATAAACTGGTTGCCTCTCCTCCAACACAATGAATTAAATAATGACCCCCCCCCCTTCACACACACACACACACACACACACACACACACACACACACACACACACACACACACACACACACACACACACGGGACCAAAGAGCCAGAGCTCAACCCCCGCAAACACAACTAGGCGAGTACACAAAATCGGTGGAAAGTGGCTGGCCGGGTCCCTAGATTTCTTCACTTGAACGTGAAAGCTAATGCACCCACAGTTTGCCAGTGCAGACTACTCATCACATGCCTTTATTTGACTAACCATCCTGTGTGATGGGGATTTTAGCATCACGTAGCTAGTTCTTGACACACCCGGTACTCCCCCTTCATATAGTCCAGGACAGCTGTACAAATGCAAATATATCTAAATGTGTTAATAACAAAATTTATTCAGCGTTAAATGAAATATGTTCGAGGTTGGAGGCTAGAGGGAGAAGAAGGGGGTTTAAGAGGGGCAGAATAGGGAGAGGAGCGAAGGGGAAATATGGAGATGGGAGAGGGAAAAAAGGGAGGGGAGAAGGGGATGAAAACGGGGAAGGAGAAGGTTGAGGGGAAAAAGTGGGTGGTTGAGAGAGCCGTGCCGAACACTACTGGCTACCCTCTTCCAGTCAACCAATAAACTAAAGTAAACCTTGGAACACTAAATCCCTATAAGCTTTAGTCTATTCAATATGTAATTCGTTGCCAAATTAAAAAATATTCAGCAGTATCCTACTAACGGGAACCTTAATTTTGTTTACGTTAGTGAAGCCTTACAAACTATCTTAGGCTATACAGTCGACCCTCACCGTATTTATTATTATTATTATTATTATTATTATCATCATTATTATTATATTTGGGTACATTTGCATTTGTGCAGCTACCCTAGACTATATGAAGAAGAGTACAGCGTGCCAAAAAACTAGCTACGTGATGCTAAAAATCCCCATCACACAGGATGGTTTGTCATACAAAGGCACGTGATTAGTTTGTTTTTGCCTTTATTAAATAATAAAGAAAATAAAGCTCATATTTACATCAATTTACAAGGGAAAATACTACATTTATTTTATGTAATTCTCAGTAAACCAATTTTTCATATCAACACCGAGCATGAGCCGTACACCCCCAAATGTTATACTTGATCCTGCCTCGCAAAAATTTCAATATTCTGTCTACTGAGTAGCCCTCCTGCCTGCCTATCTACACACACAGTAGCCCTCCTGCCTGCCTATCTACACACACAGTAACCCTCCTGCCTGCCTATCCACACACAGTAACCCTCCTGCCTGCCTATCCACACACAGTAACCCTCCTGCCTGCCTGCCTATCCACACACAGTAACCCTCCTGCCTGCATGCCTATCCACACACAGTAACCCTCCTGCCTGCCTGCCTATCCACACACAGTAACCCTCCTGCCTGCCTGCCTATCCACACACAGTAACCCTCCTGCCTGCCTGCCTATCCACACACAGTAACCCTCCTGCCTGCCTGCCTATCCACACACAGTAACCCTCCTGCCTGCCTGCCTATCCACACACAGTAACCCTCCTGCCTGCCTGCCTATCCACACAGTAACCCTCCTGCCTGCCTGCCTATCCACACAGTAACCCTCCTGCCTGCCTGCCTATCCACACACAGTAACCCTCCTGCCTGCCTGCCTATCCACACACAGTAACCCTCCTGCCTGCCTGCCTATCCACACACAAAAATGTAATCAGAAAGTATCATAATTATTGTATTTTTAATTTTCATGCATTTTATGTCAATATGAAACATTAAAAACCTCCTTAAATCCACTCTAATGCTTGGGCCACATGAAGCTTTAAGTGTGTCTGTAATCCAGTTTACATTCAACAATTTTAACATACAATGCGGTGTATTCAAAATTTGTATTTTCTAATATACAAGTTAATAATGTTGCATCTTAGAGCGTGTTGAATAGTTAGGCCTAACTTAAGACAGGTGATTGGATTCTGTTGGCAATTATTGAATAACTTACATCACATTTGTATAACTCGGATTTTTACTGCTAGTTATTAAACAGCATTGAGAAACATTATTTTAAAATTCTGTGCAAATAAAAATTAGGCTATTCATGCTAAATTATTATAAATTCGGTACAACAGCAGCAGGCTATTTGAGAGCGGGTGCTGGTCGCTTCTCTAGGTGACTTCACATGACCGGCATCCATCAAGCATTGACGCAGCCACTGACGAAACCCGTACATCTTTCAATAATCATGGTGGCTTTCTTCACATTTATTTAACAGTTTACGAACTTCGAAACTGGCATAATCCAATGTTGTTATTGGTATAAACACACTTGTAATGCTTCGAAGCTTATAAACTATGTAATATAAATAAAGCCGCCATGATTGAGGAAAGACGGCCTATCTTTATAGGCCTATATAGGGAAAGACTACGCATGTGGATGCATAAATGACGAATCCTGGGGTGTCGGTTCACAGGTAATTCGTAGAAACTTCCACTACCTTGAAAGTTATCTAGTAGAAATAAAACTGACCCGCCAACATGTTGACATTCGTAATTGATGCAATACAGTTTGAATCTATAACTCGTCTTGCATCATGATCACTCTACTATCTATCTTCTTGAGATGATTTCGGGGCTTTTTTTTTTTTAGTGTCCCCGCGGCCCGGTCCTCGACCAGGCCTCCAATTACTAAGGTTTTCAACTTATGACATTACATTTATATTGTATTTTATTAAATAAAGATAAAAAAAAAGACTTGTGACATTACACACACTCTGGTTTCATCCAAGACATTTTCATTATAAATCATTCAACGTTTAATTTTAATTCACTAATAAAGATGCAACAAAACAATTACTGATCAATTCCGGGGTGATTCCCGAGTTTTCTAAGAAATAGTTCTCGAAGTAGCTCTCTTCACATTATAATCGTTTCAATATGTGGATAATGAAATCTGAACCACATGTTACAATCCCCCTTAACCACGTCTCTCACAATTCCCTACATCTGACTACAAATATAAGTTAGCCTGACAGCAGAAAGAGGCATCTTAGTCGATACTCACAGATAACAGCAAGTCTCGTCATCTTGAACTTGGGCAGCCAGGTGCAGTCTAGGAGCTGACAGTCCAGCTGACAGTCTAGGCAGACGACAGTTCTCGGGAAACGAGACCCAGTCCAGGCAGATGTCAGTCCAGCAAGTCCGCCACACACCCGAACACACACACAAAGGTAGACCGTAGACCACTAGTGCCCGCCGTGGTGGAGGGTCGAGCCACGTGTGTGAGGTGCCTCAAACCTGCTCCTGCCCTGGGGTACCTCTCTACCCCTCTCACGGTTATCACTACCCGCTTTAACAACTATCACTACCGCCAACCTCCACTTCCTCTCCCACTGACGTATACGCCCATATGTATAGTTTAAACCCCCATATTCCTTCATAATCATCGTGATCAGCACCTAGATTAACCTTAAGCATTAATGAACAGCATTTGGGAACGTGGCAACTGAGACGCGGGCATACCTCTACGGCAGTTTTTATTTATCTGCTTTATACAAGCGCTCTTCCTCGTTATATTATATTACATACGACTGCCTTCACTATTCGACCCAATGGCAGCCTGTATGATGTTCTATTTGTCCTCTCAGAGAGGAGACACCCGCTCAAGATGGTCCTCTGCATTGAAAAACTCTTAAGACTATGACGTTATGCTCATTACAGGGCTGAGGTAGGCGTCACACCGGCTATCCAACTTCCGTAAACATTCGATTTTCAAATCTCATTTTCCCACCCACAAAACAGGAAAAAAAAAATCATTTTCCTAACTTCAAAAGCGACGGACTCGCCTGAAAATGTATCAGGGAATTACATAGGTGCGAGCTAGGTCTAGTGATCAGGTGTTGTTGATCACTGTAACTGTGGTGGCTGGCATGTCCGCTCTTGTTGGCGTCAGGTCTACTGGGAACTCTGACTACACACACACAGGACACATCACTTAGCCTATCGGGACACTAGAGCTGGCCCGTCACACATTAAACACTGCTATATAAACTCGTACAGAAAAATGAGTCAACATTTAATCTACTAAATTTCAAGCCTTAACGTGAGAATATTAATTAAACCAATAATACAAGGCAGATACATATTTAATATGTATACTATACACACGCACGAACAAGAGGTCAGCCAGCATGAATAACATTCACTAAACGCATATTTAACGCAATGTATACTGACGAAAAAAATACATCAAATTTATCATGTGAAAATACAACTATCACAAAAGTCACACACAGGACACAATAATGCACATAGGCCTATATACAATTACTCATCAAAAGAGGACCTACACCGTTTTCATGAATTGAACTCGCGAAAATAAATACTCGCCAATCTATAAGTATATATACGCGGAATAGGCACATGCAAACACGCAGCATATCTATATCTATAAAAAGAATGTCTGCCAGTCCGTCCTAGCTCAATTTTTCAGCATCACACATTAGTGGTATGCGACTGCCATAGGCCGCTCAGGATCCATCAGTCCAACTACTTGGGCTGGACGGTAGAGCGACATTTCTCGCTTCATACAGGTCGGCGTTCAATCCCCGACCGTCCACAAGAGGTTGGGTACCATTCCTCCCCCCCCCCCCTGTCCTATCCCGAGTCCTTATCCTGACCCCTTCCCAGTGCTATATAGTCGTAATGGCTCGGCCCATCCCAAGTCCTTATCCTGACCCCTTCCCAGTGCTATATAGTCGTAATGGCTTGGCGCTTTCCCCCCCCCCCCCCTGATAGTTGCCTCAGGATCCATCCCCCCCCAAACGAACTCAATATCAGGACAACCTGTGGCTGTATAAGAGAGTGGCACACTCCTGCTGACACCTGTCCTTCACTAACGCACACTCCTCTTGCTGTAACAGCTGTTGTTTGTAAACATAAACATTGCATGACATGAGGTCCCGGTAATACAGTCGGGTTCGTTCTCGACGCACACTCCAGAATCCCAGGTTCGAATCCCGGCCGAGACAGAAATGGTTGGGCACATTTCCTTTCATCTAGCAGTGAGTAGGTACTCAGGCGTTAGTAACTTGTTATGCGGTTGCACATTGGACGGGGCCAGTAATTCGGCCTCGATAAAAGCCAAAACGTGTATATACATTCTGGCGTCCTGTCCCCCGACACAATGAACTATTATGGCTTAACAAGGCACAATTTAAAGCTTTCTTATTGTCGCGGTCGTCTTATTTTCGTACTCACGTATTCTATTCTCTATGTTCAAAATAATGCCTCGACAAAAATGCACATCTAACCATTTTTTTTTTTAGCTTGCAGTTATGGAGAAGCAAACAAGGCTCCAACTGCTACACGGCCCAGTACGTAGCGACCTCATGCATCACCCAATAGGCAAAGCAGAAATGTTGTACGAACGCGGTAATTGCTTGAGTGGGCATCACAACACTACCCTCAACACGCAATCGTACCAAACAATACTCCAAGTGAAAATGGTATCACAATGTTATCACGCCATTGTGATTTCCTAGTGAATACTCTAGTATTCAATCCGCTTTACTTGATTGGTGAAGATTAAGTCACCCAAGAGTTGGCACGGACATGAATAGCCCATAAAGCTTTACTTCACCAAGGGTGCAGATAGTATTGGGGGAGGGGAGGTGGTTGGGTGTGTGTGGTGATGGTTGGGGAGATAGAGTGTAGGTGTGTGGGGTGAGAGTGGTAGAGGGATGCGAGCCTACGGGAGGTACCACAAGGTGTATTCACATTCTAATTAGTTTTTTGTTTGCAAAACAAATCAAGGTTGCAAAGTAATGATAAAGCATCCTGCAATGCAACACAAAAGTACACCGAGCTTGAAGGTCCTCGCAGCTCATTTACAATGTGACAACACAAAATTGTATAAAACAAAAATTAACTTTGCAACTTTTAGTTTAAAGAATATAAACCACTATAATATTTTCACAGCGGAAGAGTTTACCTTACCTTAAGTTGATTCCTAGGCCCAACGTCCCCGCAGCCTGGCCTCTAGTCAGGTATGACTACATTGCTAAAAACTTTCCCCAAATAAATAAAATTATATATATTTACTGATCTACAGCTTTACAGTACTTAATTGTTCTACACTAGATACAACATGACTATAGAGTATTGCTTACAATACACCACTACGCCAGATACTGTATTTAGTATGGTCTTACCCTTGGTGTTATTGGTCCTCTGATAATGAATTTTAAGATTCGTGAGCTGCCTTGATCACGTCAGACTCTTTGGACTTGTCGAACTCTTCAAAGCTCTCAAAGAGCCGGAATTCTGGGTGGTCCTTGGCAAAAACATTCTTGGCAAAGTCCCGGAACAACTCGAGGGCGATGGATTTCTTGAGTTCCTCAAGGTTGGCTTTTTGGACCTCCTCTTCAGTTTCTTCGTCAGTCACCTCACCCTGAGAACCTTTCTTTCGTTTCTTCTTCTTCTTTTTCTTTTTCTTCTTCTGGCTCTGGTCGTGTGCAACTTCGTCCTGGTCGTTCTCTAGCAGAAACTCCTCGTCTGTCTCTCCAGAAATACCAACGTGTTTCTCAAATTCTATGTGGTTTCCAGTGTCACTCTTGCTACGTTCGTCAGTCTGGTCTCTGGATGCCCTCCTAAAATAGACCTTTGGGTGTTCTTGATCAGCATCATCAGAGACTGGTGTCGGAGGTTCCTTACTCGTGGAGGCTGGAGTTTGAGGTTCCTTGCTGTTGGATGCGGATGTTGGAGGTTCTTTGCTGAAAGTTCTGGAGGTGGTGGGAACGCTGGACCTATACCCAGACCGGCCCATCGCCCCCTCACGCCCATCTTCCGTTGCCTTAGTTCCCTTCTCCTGAAATTAAATATTGTAACTATCATACAAAAAAAGCAAAACAAAATTCATAAAAATATCAAATGAAGAGTAATTAAAAGTACACAAATATAGAAAATAAAATAATAACAAGTTTGAATAAGAATGAGAATGCAAGTAAGAAAACAAAATGAAATATACCCAATATACCAATGACAAGATCCGAATTGAACAAAAAAATATTGACAAGAGACAAGAACATTATTAAGAGGTAGGGTCATCCTCCCGTCACCACAAAATGCCTCTTTATCCTCTTGTCCTGCGTGACAGTGAATACCAGCATTATCCTCACTTTAATAAGACTATCAAAATCCTCAGATTAGGCAAAATTGTAATTAATTTTCTCAATAAAGATGTTAATAATAATAATTTATCCTCTTACGTCGTCCTCAGTTGGGTCGTCGTCCAACAATTTTCTCTGGAGGACTGGCAGATCCCGTTTTCTGGAGCGGGCTTGCTGCAAGAAGAGGAGGTAGGGCGTGGTGTAGGTCTCCTTCTCCGAGTCGTAGAGCAGGTCAGCGTCGCTCTCCCCGCTCTCTGACCTGCACCCGGACCGTCCAATGGAAAAGTTGGTAGGTGCTCTATTTTCTGATATGGAATAATTATGAAGGGTTATGGAAGAGAAATCCGCCACCCAACAGGCCGAGGAATTGGGAGAGGGTTGAAGACTGAGCGAGGTAATAGGGCAGTCTTGGAGGAGGATTTTTAAGAAGGGTAGAAAGGTACTGGAGATACACAGATGTTAAACAGTGAATTGAAGGTCGTAGGAAACAGCGGGAGCTTCTGTTTAGGTCGTATAATACAATATTTTACCAGGAAGATGAAAACCAAAAAAGGATTGTATATTGTCGGTGGGAATATAATGATGTAGAGAAGAACACCTGGAGAAATAGAGGAGTGGATAAAGTTGGACGCGCCTTACACTAATTGTGAAAATCAATAGAGGTGGCGAAAAGGAGAATGGGATGATTTTATGGTAATGGAACAAAATTCAGTTATGCCAGATGAATGAGAAACGGAATGGAACAAAATCTTTGAAAAAGAGAAGCCTGAACTGCGAGTCAAGAGAAAAAAACAACTTTACACAAATTTACTCTACATATACTAATATTACCAGAGGATTTCGTACAGACGGAAATTCTAAGTATAAACTAAATATTTATCTGAATATCTTGGGATACAGTCAATAAATTTTGCATCATATGCTGAAAGACTCTTTAAGATTGTCTGTGCATAAATTGCTGTGTGCAAGCGGGAAGCTCGGGCACTGACCCCTGGAAGATGAGCTCCTCGTCGTCCTCACCCTCGGGCTCTAGTTGGTCAAGGTAGTCCTGAAGGAGGCCTCCTGCTGGGCACCTGCAAGATAATCAAACTTGCTCTTGGGTAAAGAATCAAGAGCAAACCGTCAAAAGAAAGATTCTGACAATGTGTGAGGGTCGGGGGGGGGGGACGGAAACTTTTCCATTACCACTCCACCATGCTGAGTCTAACATGAAAGAATCATGAGGTTTTATCCTCATGACACACGTGTTCGTGCGTCATGAGGATAATGTCAGTACATAAGGACAAGAATAAAGGTCATGAGTTCTGGACCATAGCCAATTTCCAGATAGGAACCGGGAGTAGAATCTTCAATAATTCAGAAGGGGAACAAAATAAAAAGTGATAGTTCTTCATAAACATGAATGTCTTAAGAAATGTGTAATTCATGATTGTCACCTGGGAAAGTTTGTGTTGCTTTCGTACGTAATCCAGCACCATTCTCTTCCAAGGGGGCAACATGCTAAATTTAGGATAAGCAAATCTTGTCAACATTTATGAATGCACTAATGGGCCAGAGCTTCCTTATCATATATTCACGAGGAGAATGCAGGAGTTAGAAGCTCTTTATTACCCAGACTACTAGCCTTGTTGAACCTGTTGCGTTGTAATTTAACGTCTCCAACATCAATGGTGTGCAACACTGGCCCTGAGGCACGACCACTACGCAACTTGGTTAATCCTTACAATTAAACCAATGAGAAAATCACCGGAGCAATACGTGGCTCGACCCAGCCACCTGGGGGTACTCCCAGCAGCACGCCTTACCCCTGACCCACGACGTGGCAAGGATTATACAACCTGGGATTCTACTGAATCAACTGAGGAGTCTGGAGGCCCCGTGCTGGAGCCAACCCAACTTTTACACCAAACGCTACTTTTACTTTATTGTGATTTCCTCGAGTAATTCACTCATAGGCACATTGGTTATGTCCTCGGCTCACAACTGAGGGACCCGAGTTCAACCCCCGGATAGGACATCCAATCACTTGGGGGTGGACGGTAGAGAGACTGTCTCGCTTCATGCAGGTCGGCGTTCAATCCCCAACCGTCCAAGTGGTTGGGCACTAATTCCTTCCCCGCCCCCCGTCCCATCCCAAATCCTTATCCTGACCCCTTCCAAGTGCTATATAGTCGTGATGGTTTGGCGCTTTCCCCCTGATAATTCCCTTCCCCCTAACAGTACAAAATGGTCGAACACGTTCACCGAGCGGTAAAACAGGTACTGGGAGTCAGACAGCTATTGTGGGTCGCATCCTGCGTTAGGTCAGTTAGTATTTGGCACAAGTAAACCTTGATAAGCCTCAATACAGGCCTCCGGTTCTCGAATAGGAGAATTATTATATCCCTATTCTATTCTTTCGTGCGCATGCTTCACCCCCGAACATAAGTGCATATACACAATTCACTAACGTGTGTGCGCATGTGCCATGAACGTAAGTGCGTATATAAACAACATTGTGTTATCAGCTGGAATGACCACAATATTTATCAAACATTTAATTAATGTTAACTAGATACAACCATATGCACAAATATAAAAATATTACGAAAACAACTACTGAACTTTCATGAATATCTGCTTTGGGGGAGAGTTATAAATATATAAAATAAATATTTAAAGCAAATTCTATTTTTTTCCTTTGTTATACAGCATTTACAAAGCTGTATATGTCGGTCCCGAAAGATTTGATAGTGAGCCCTTACATTTTTATTCTCTTTTCTCGTAGGATTCAGAGAAAACGTACAATATACGTTTGACTAAAGGAAAATTTCCAAAACTGCCCCAATCTTTATATTTTGCATAAATACTGTCAGGTGCGATGATGTACCGTGCTGCAAAATTGCTGTAATTATTGATTTATCTTGTTAGATAATAACAGCTACAGATATTTAAACTAGGCAATTATATGGATTTATAAGCATAATTATCATAAAACTCTATACTGAAAGTTTACAGTTGATAAGCCACATTGACCTGGAGAGGATCCTAGTTCAATTAACGCAAGCTGCACTCAAAGAGTTATTATTCCACACAATAAGGTGTCTATACACTCTTAACATCCCGTCGAGGCCACTAGAGACGGTGGCTTGCAGGTATAAATTCGGGTAAATATGCTTTGCAAATGAACATAATTTTGAAACGCGGTTAATGTTTTTACAATTACTGCTACCGATATCATCAATAAAAGTCAATGTATTTCATTGCCAAGTAATCCATATTTTTGTCGCTTGTCCAGAGACACGTGGCCCATTTATCAACGCTAATTTTCGCAGCTCAAAAAAATGTTTTACCCTTACCTGTCATCCTGACCATTTGTGGGTGTGGTCTCCGTGGTCGATTCTTCCCCCGCAGTTCGACCAGTAGGAAACGCGAGGACACGTTCAATTCTGTGACGTAGCTCCTCAGAGACCACGCCCTCCATATCCGGCATATTCTGAAACAAAAGATAACACACACACACACACTCTGGTTGCTTATCCCAAACACAATGACTTCCTATTATCTCAAACTGAATCAAGTACACACACAACTCTAAAATTCAGAGTACAAAATCTTACTCTATCTCGACCCACCTGTCTATCACCTTTCCCCCAAATACTCACATATTCTGGCACATGTTGAAACTGTATAGACCAGGGGTGTGGCCCTTGCCAACTGCGGCTGGAGGCAGGAAGCGGGCGTGCCACAGGCGTGCGAGCTGGGAAGGTCCATCGTGCCACGCCCTCCCTTATGACACCAGCCTTCTCCCGCGCCCGCCCACGCCACCGACCTGCCAGCAGGTCATCACTGGTGTCTGAAGTGTGTTGGTGGGCGGCGTGGCGACTGTGCAACAGATAATTGGATTTTGTTCATTATTTGCCCATTTCATTCTCAGGTAAATATAATTCACATTCATTAATTTGTTTATATATGAGGATAAGGGGAGGACATGACCACAAGCTACAAGATTTCAAGAGGACTAAACAATTAGAGAAAAAAGGGAACCAGCTTCGACAAAGAGGGAACACGAGGACTGGACAGAATTGGAAACACGAAATACAGAGGTGAGTTTTATTTCTAAATTCAATTGAGAAACAATTATAAAAATATTAAAATATTTTTAGGAGTTTCTTTTATCAAAATGCCAATTACAATTATGAAACAAAATCCATGCAGTTCCTTTGATACTCAGAATGTCATAGTAATTCAATTTTGATTTTGACATTAGTTCTTCAAATTTCGATAGCCTTATTTTATAATTTACTCTTTGCCCACTAGATGGGGGGGGGGGCGGTGTGCAGGATAAACATATCAATTGTGACACCAACTCTCCACATAATTAACGATTTAAACTAACTTGTAAATTTAAAAGAAAACCAACACTAACGGTCAGACAGCCTCGCCTAAAATGTTTACACTTTTAACGTTTGCTAACTTACCATTTGGGGTTACAATTATGTTTCGTGTCGAAATGTTTGACAAATTAATTTCCAATAATATAGATGCAAAAATATATTTGTATTGATAATGGAACATGCGTGAAGATACTCAAGATATGAATGTTTAAGAATATAGGGTCTTTTAGTATTGTTGGCTTCGTTCTCGACTTACAATCAGGGATCTTAGGTTTGTTTCCCGGGGCGAGAGGAATTGGTTGAGTTCACCTAACAGTAAATGAAAATTAGAACCTGAACAGAACCTGAAAATTAGGTAGCTGTTGTATACATGGGGAGGGTTAGCAGTTCGACCTTTTGGTTTTACGTCAATACAAGCCGGAACTAAATTTACATTTATGAGCTTGTACATTTATGAGTAAAAAATACGCAAAATGAGTTATGTAAACAGTATACATTTTGCTAAGTCATTATACTAACACAACACGTAATCGTAATAATTATATACTGTGTAATCTAGTTTTAGAAGCTCGTTTGCCAGAAATTTAGATAATTCATTACAGCCGTGGCTGGAGTGAACACCTGTACAGCCGTGGCTGGAGTTTCTTCTTGAAAGACTCTTGATGCTCGGGTCAGCCAGACTGATTTTTGTAACCGTGTTTTCTCCCCCAGACAGTGTTCACGTATTTATACAATAGTAACAGCATATATTTTCATCTGTCCTCCACCGACAGGGTTAGAAATATGCGAGACAACGTATAGGTTAATGAGAGCCAACGTTATCTTCAGTGAAGCGGCTTAGGAACCAATCTTCCCTCATTGATGTGAAGCGGGAAGCTGAACCGAGATGCTGAGTTCGATAACCGTGGGCCATAAATGTCTTTTAATGGCTACAAGGAAAATATTGAGTACCAATTAGCCTTCTGCAGTTTCTCAAGGTGATGATAGCGATACAACTATTCATGGTGCAGAGAGATTCACTTACAAGGTTCATCCACTGCCACATAAAAGGTGACAGGACGCCAGAATCTAAGGGGGGGAGGGGTTGTATGCCAGAGAACTGGCCGCAATAGGCTTCCATGGGTATAGGTTTCCCTGGACTCACTCACCTCTTGCATCGCCTGCACTCCATGCCGTGGGCCAGCCCGCGGGACACTGCACCAGTCTTCCACACCTTGCTGGCCGCCATGTTGTTGTTGTGTCCGCGTTGCTAGGCGACCAGCACATGTGCGTCCTCGCTCCTCTTTTTAACCAACCAAAACCCATGTATATTTATATTCGCAAATGGTTTTAGTTGAAACTAAACTATTTAAGTGCCTTGGAATTATTCATGTTAATTACACAACAACGCGAAGATTAAAAAAAAATGAGGATTATTACATACATTTTAACAAAAGATTTTTAACTTTGACATACTTATACTTAATTTGTGAGAACTGTTATCAGCAAATACAGAAGTCGTACCTCACCTTTATATTTCACAACACTTTACTGTTTACCATTTTATCCAACCATAAAATATCGATAATTTGAACGCAATTGCCTAAATCTACTCCCCAAGTCACGTGACTGGAGGGGATTTTTACGCGGGCCGTATATTGTTATAGTGTATAGTAAACCCGTTATAATTAATAATTTTGATTTAAATAAATCTGGTAGTATGGTATTTCACCAAAGATAGAGGAGAGATAGACGAGAATTTTTTTTGTGTGGCAAGTGTGGCTATGCGTTTTTTTGTCTATGCTTTGATATGTTGGCTTCGAGGTCCGTCGCACCGCAGGAGTGTAATGTTCACTTTAGTATGTGAACAGTCTTTTAGTAGCTCAAGGATAACACAATATGGAAATGTTTGGTGACCCAAGCGTCTGGTTACGCAAAAACAAACATTCTATTTTAGATTTTTTTTTTGCTGGGATATTCCTGCGCGGGCCCTAAGCCTCTGTCTGGTCCACTAAGTGTTGTATTTTATAGATATTGATATACCTTGTCTATTATCTCTCAGAATGTTCGGGAAATATGTTTATTGTTTTTGATGTGTGTCTATATATGTATTAACACGATGTACTGAACGGGGTGAGAATAGCTTGAGCTACCTCATCCCTTTGTGTGTATTTTACCTCACTAAACTTATTTCAATTTCAATACCTTGTGATGGTCCCGGGATTAATGTCCTCTACGGCGGCGTGATATCTGAAAAGTATTCCTGGTTGGCGGTCTGGTAAACCAGGCTGTTAAACCAACCCGATCTCTTACAAATTACGTCGTTTTCTCTCGTATGTCAACTCAGGCTAAAAATATCTACGTAATTCAAAATGAAATCGGCTCACGAAAGTGACGTACTGTCCCGTTTTCTGTTTTGGGTCCTCTGAGTTAGGCTGTTAGGTTAGGAGAGGAAACTTAAGAAGGAAGTTTGAGAGGAAGCCTGCCCTCCCACAGTCAGTTTCCCACAGCCCGGCCTTCCCACAGTCAGTTTCCCACAGCCCGGCCTTCCCACAGTCAGTCTCCCACAGGCCGCCTCCCACAGTTAGTCTCCCACAGCCAGTCTCCCACAGCCCGCCTCCCACAGTCAGTCTCCCACAGCCAGTCTCCCATAGTCCAATGTTAGCAAGAAGCGAGTCAAAACCAGTGATAACACAATCTCAGTCTCTCATTCCTCACAAGCGTCCAACAATCTCAGTCTCTCATTACTCATAAAAAAAATACAAAAATGAGATGCCGTCAGCGTCTAGTTACACATCAATGCCTGACTTTTCTCGCCCAGGATGAACAGGGACTGGTAAGCCAGACACACACACTTATAATTTATCTAAATAACATAGTCATAAAACATTGTCTTAATGACCGTCGACATATTTAACTTAGCATCGAAAGATTTATAATAAAGCGAACTATAAATTCAGAAGGATATCGTGAATGATGGCAGCATAGCCTAATAAGGACCTACGTCATCCTGTAGAAATCAAGAGGCAGACAGGGAACACGAGGTGGGCGGGGCCTGCTGGTCACGTGACATACACAACACATGGCGGGAAATGCCGCCACTACACTAATAATAATAATAATAATAATAATAATAATAATAATAATATAATTAATATTTTTGAGGGATTGAAACCGAGTGTCCGTCATCAAACTATTTAATGAATAAAATTGGGAAGTTAAAAAAACTGACTTTTTTTTAACAAAAACACAATTCAAAAACACCAGAAATCTGTAGTTATTTGAATTTATTGAATTTTCACTAGTGCTGTCAACACTGACAACCTGGCTGATGAGGTCATCAACCAATGTTTCTGTATATCAAGTAACATTACAAAAGCTGCACTACGATCCCTTCTCTAAGTGCCACAGAGGGGCTCCGGTGTCACAATTCTCAACATGAAACACAGATTCGCCATCTTAAGGATGACATTTGGAGCACAAAGACGGTTTGCAAGGCCTTTACTGGGCGACGCCTCAAGTGTGAGCAAGCTGTAGCTCTAGGTCCCCGCCTCAATGAAGTTGTGCGGATATTTGGTGAACATAACTGTTGTATGCCCCTTTACCCTGCAATAGTCATTCCTCCGCGAACATTATCCTCTTGGACCTATGTTTCAAGTCTGGCGGGTACTCCCTTTCCCAGTCCATAAATCTGATATATTTGTTATGAAACTATTATATATGTACTTAACTAGCTGTGCTTCCATGGGAATGAACACCAGCTCCTGGGCTCGACTCGAAACTTCCAGGAGAACCATGTTGGGATTCACACAAGGAATTCATGTATCGATTCGGCCCCCCCACACCCCCCTTTCCCCGTGTCTTCGTAACTTCCCCTCACCCACCCCTCTATATACACCTGTAACCACAACTTTGCTACAGTCGCATACAACACACTGCACGCCCATCTCCCCCCAAGGGTGGTGTTCATTACTCCCTCCGCCCATACCAGATGTTGGTGAGGGGAGGTAGGGGGGATGTTGGGTGGGTGGTGGTGGTGGTGATGTTGGGGGTGGTATTGCTGGGGGGTGGTGGTGTTGGCGGTGTTATTATTAACATCTTTATTGACAAAATTAATTACAATTTTGCCTAATCTGAGGATTTTGATAAAGTCTTATTAAAGTGAGGATAATGCTGGTATTCACTGTGCGGGCCGCAGGCATCATGCTTAATGCTGCAGCTTTCACGTCGTTGTGAATTTGTTAAGTCAGTAACATTTTCACCGGATATTCGTTTAAGTATTATCTCTGTCGCTGTTGATGAAACACCCATATTAAGTTCTGCTGCTGGTCTAATACAGGCTGTCTTTACAAGCATGTCAACACTATCATGCTTATAAAGGCCAGGTGTGGGAGGAGAGGGTGGTGTGGGCGTGGATGGTGGGAGTCAGGGTGGTGTGGGCGTGGATGGTGGGAGTCAGGGTGGTGTGGGCGTGGATGGTGGGAGTCAGGGTGGTGTGGGCGTGGATGGTGGGAGACAGGGCGGTGTGGGCGTGGAGAGGAAGTAAGCGCGGGTGGTGGAGAATGCTCGACTTTGTTAGCACAAGGGTAAGTTAGATCCCACATGGGAGCGTCCGGCAGTGGCTTATATCTAACGAAAGAGAGAGAGAGAGAGAGAGAGAGAGAGAGAGAGAGAGAGAGAGAGAGAGAGAGAGAGAGAGAGAGAGAGAAATAAAGGAGATAATTTGTTTTGTCGGGGACAAAGAGCCTGTGTACATATACATTAAGCTTGCAGCTAGGAACCCCCCAACCCTACAAGGTGGAACTACCGTCCCTCCCCAGCAGGCAACCCCACAACAGTTGTCTAACTCCCGGGCACTTATGTATTACTAAGTGAACTAGTGCATTAGGCGAAAGGAAAAGTCCCCAACCATTTTTGTCCCGCCCGGGATTCGAACCCGATACTCCCAATTGAGAGTCGAAGTCACAGAACGTTTAACGAGACTATGAAATACATCTCAAACAGGATAGAGGAGCTTCGGCTATTTCTACCCTCCGAAGTCGAAGAGAGGGTCGAGGCCTCGAGGACTGCACACCACACTCCCGGCCTGTCAGTCATTCTAAGACAAGCCAGCACCAGCCTGGCTTACAACTGCTCCATCTCAAGGTTCCACTGGAGGACCCTCACTCGTCTCCCCCACCTACTTCGTGATGCCTCATCACAACGAGATGACGTCCTGTGCCAGCACAAAGACTTACGTTGAATGTAGTAAGGCAGAGCCGGAAATTATCATTACTTAAAATTTGTACATCTGCAATAGGCTTCTTCAGGGATAGTGGACTGTCAACTGACACAGCAACTGTCTCAATAACCACATCATCATTCCAAGACTGCAAACGTTCTTAAATCAACATTTTAAATATTGGAGAACTCGCTACTCCATCTCTTCAGGAAGTTATATTTAAGTGGAGTGTTGCTCGCACAACGGAATAACTAATTATCGAAAGAAGGCACCAAGCCGGGAAGGCTATGTAGCACCATCAAATGTGCGGGATAATCAGGATGTCACTAAATATCACCAAGGATGCCAATATGAGAACAGAAACGCGTATGGCGAACGACATCAAATATATCAGATTCATCGCACAATGGAAACAGTAATTGTCCCCATACCCAAGTCAAAAGATCCTGGTAATTACCAACCAATTATACAGTTAATTATTGCGCCAATGCCACAGCTAGGTACTCCGTATTGACATCAAGAGCGCCTATGACAAGTTACAAGTGATTGCGAGTCTAGACGAGCTTAGATATATGGGAGTCAAGGGGAGACTCATGACATGGACTGAAGACTATCTCTCAGGAAGGAAAGCCAAGGTCTTCTTCGACGAATCAGTCTAGAGAACAAAGCATATATGAAGTTTGTGGCCCTTCAAGGGATGATAAATTCCAAGCTGATAAGAATTCAACATCCCTATGAATCACATTGTTAATATAGAATTAAAACAAAATGGATATGCTGATAATATCCCGATTCCAGCCCTCAACTTTGGAAAGATAAAACAGACCATTCAACTCTTTGGAAGGAAATATACTGAGCGCTTCTTTCACTCTCCACAAATAAGAAAGCATACTCTTATCACAAGACGATTTAGATTGACTTTTAAAATATACAAATAGACGTAAGATTAGCAGATGCAGTTTATTGCTGATAAAATGCATCATTCTTGAGAGGGTTAGTTTTAACCGACTCTTGAGAAAAGCCAACTAAAAATTGTTGTGACGTGGAGCTAGTTGGTCACCGAGTGTAGGGGAGAACAAACATTATAACACCAGCACACTAACAAGGGGGATCATCTGAAGACTTCAGTGACCAGAGGCTAAATAACCCAAGCCGTGCATGTCAATTTCCCGCATAAGTAAAACAGACACAAGCAACACTTAGTGGGCCAGCCAGAGGCTTAGGACCCGCGCAGGAATATCCCTGAAAAAAAGTTAACAGCGAACTTGTGCTTGTGATTGACTCATCAGCTGTACTACACATCTGTATGGAGATAATTGTGCAAGTCTTAGCTTTACTGTAGAGTGTAATACTAGTTGCCATGTGGGGCAGTGATAGCACAAGGTAGGTTGCCATGTATCAAGTGAACAGCCACCTGTGTCTCCTCGCCATCTGCCACCCCCACACCCCAACGCCACCCCCACACCCCAACGCCACCCCCCACACTCCAACGCCACCCCACACACCCCAACGCCACCCCCCCCCCCCACACCCCAACGCCACCCCCACACCCCAACGCCACACCCCCCACACACGACAACACGTTGTGTGGGGGGGAGGAGTATTTACTTCCGTCGCTCAACACGACAGAAGTAAATATATGCAAAATATATGGATGACCAAAATATGGGCCTTACCACAATCACTATTTCTTCAGCTGTATCACGTCCCAACAATTAAGAAACCGTCTACACAATGCGATTGTATCTGGCACATGCAGCCAGAGCTGTTTCATAAAACATTGTTCAACTACAAAAAATACTCAAATTAAATACAAATACAATAATATAAATATAAGAATGTCTTCTACTTTTGAAGTAGACAAAAACAAAAACAAAAAAGCGCTAACGACCCCTCCCGTACCCCCCAAAAAAACAGAAGAGGAACCACAGACACAATCACCACCCCCGCAGACTGACAATCGTTCTCTCAGGGGAATGAGATAGGGGTTAAGAGGGCTCCCTAACGAGCCACCACGAGGATATGCTTGTTACATCACTCTGGGGGGGGGAGGGGGACGGAGATGGAGCATCATATCCTCAGAAGATCTCCCAAGGAGGGTGGATCTCCAGCTCCCCCCCCCCCCCACACTGTTAAATATACAAGAACAGTAGTTTATACATTTTACCCCGAGGGGCGAGTTTATTGGACAGCGTCACTCATCCCGTGAGTGAACACACCGCCATAGTGACAGTATTGGGCAGCGTCACTCATCCTGTGAGTGAACACACCGCCATAGTGACAGTATTGGGCAGCGTCACTCATCCTGTGAGTGAACACACCGCCATAGTGACAGTATTGGGCAGCGTCACTCATCCTGTGAGTGAACACACCGCCATAGTGACAGTATTGGGCAGCGTCACTCATCCTGTGAGTGAACACACCGCCATAGTGACAGTATTGGGCAGCGTCACTCATCCTGTGAGTGAACACACCGCCATAGTGACAGTATTGGGCAGCGTCACTCATCCTGTGAGTGACGCTGACTAACTAGGGGATTGAGAGCTGACTAACTAGGGGATTGAGAGCTGACTAACTAGGGGATTGAGAGCTGACTAACTAGGGGATTGAGAGCTCACTAACTAGGGGTTGAGAGTGGACTAACTAGGTGGGTTGAGAGAGTGGACTAACTAGGGGTTGGACAGGCCTGGAGGCGCTGAGCCTGTCCCACCGTGTGACTGATGGACTGGGATACAAGAGGTGAACGATAGAACAAGTGTGTGGGCGGTAGACAATATATGAGAGAGAGAGAGAGAGAGAGAGAGAGAGAGAGAGAGAGAGAGAATTACACTTACAGTTTATATATTTATCGTCCACAAAGTTGTAGGAATGGGGGGAGGAGGAGGGGGGAGGAGGGGGGAGGCTATATATAACGAGGGGAGAGGTGGAGGGAGAGAGGGGAAGGAGGAGGAGGAGCCAGTGAGTGAATTCAATTGACGGACAAATTGTTTGAGGCAAGTCTACGGGTCCCTCTGGAGGGGGAGAGGGAAGGAACGATAAGGAAGAGGAGAAAAAAGAGAGAAGAAGAAGAAAGTGAGAGCAGCTGGAGGGAAGAGATGGGAAAGATAGATGAACAAAACGTGGTAAGGAAAGTGGAGGAGAAAGGAGTAAAAGAGATGGAGGGGAAAAATGGCATCCTCCTCCTCTTGCTGCTGCTGCTACTCCTCCTCCTCCTCGGCATCCGTGACAGTGTCAGCCAGTCCACGGTGCCACATGCCAGCTGCTGCCCTCCGTGCACGCCACGCAGCTGATGGTGAGGCTCCAGTCCCCCGCTCCTCCAACACACTCACCATCAACAACAAGGCGCAGTGAACATTTACTTAGTAACGCGGAAGGTCACAAACTGCCGCAGGGCAACGCGAGGCGTTTACTTGTGACAGTGAGAGAGAGACAGAGACCCAGGCAGACAGAGAGACTGAGACGGGCGTTGCTGTACCACAGAGGGAACCTGGAGGTGTGGGTGCCAGTGAGGAGGCACTGTAGTGGTGGGAGAGGATAGTGATGGACCCGCACTGGAGTGCCACGGGGACCGCGCCACAGTGTTCTCTAATGTCCCGCCAACATTGATGCGCTGATGACTGATTTAATGAGTGATTCATCCTCTGTGTCGGCCAACGTGTGTGTGGGTGGTGTGGGAGACCCAGTAGAGTGGACCCGGGCCTCGAAGCTCCACTGGCGTGTACGCCACCACCAACTGTCAGCACAAGGCGGACTAAAATGACCCCGACTTGCGTAACGGCGTGGCTCTCTGTCAGCGTGTTGCTGACCCCGGCATGTGCAGCAGGTGGGTACACAACTCTAATATTAATATACATGTTACACCCCCCCCCCTGGTGGCGGTACTCACCGACTCTGCCGGTGGAGTACTGTATGTATGTGAGATATGCCAGGGTGGTGAGAAGCCCTGCTAACCTAAGTCACTATGGCAGAGTGAGGTCTAGTTCTTAAGGTCTACTAGCTTCCTTATACCTGTAATACTAGCTTCGTTGTACCTGTAATACTAGCTTCCTTGTACCTGTAATACTAGCTTCGTTGTACCTGTTTTGCGTTGCGTTTTTAACTTTACTTGTGTACGAGTTCATTGTCAATACATCTTCCCTACCCGTAGCCATATTATTGTCCTCATATTCCCCTCTAAATGCTATAAGAGTCATACTGGCTTGGCGCTTTTTCCTCATACTTGTAATTGAGGGACGTGCCTTCCAGGAATTCTTCAGGGCAATTCACTTGTTTACCATCAGAATAGGTTTAGTTAATTTCATTTATATCGTATTTAATACTCATGCTGTGGTTAGTTTTGGTTAGGTTATGTTATGTTATAAGTCCTTCCTTAAATTTCTTCGACACATTTCTGTCTCCTATTTCCACCTACACCCTCTTGCCTTATATTCTCTTATTTAAATATTCAAGCTCTTGTCTATCTAATCCCTTCTCAGTATCTTGCATGGTGTGATCATGTACCCCTCTGTTTCTTCTCTCTAGGATGGTAAGGGTGAATTTTCTTATCGTGTCCTCGTAGTTTAGTTGTCTTAATTCCGGTGCTAGACCCAAGCCTCGACACATTGGTTTAGCTGGTGTAGTGGTGCGTTACAGAAGGGACTCTTTCACTTTTTAAAAAGGATAAACAAACAACTTTCGGGCCCATTAACGACTCTCCAGACACCTCGTCCCCCCCCCACACCACAGTGATGACGACCAACGAGAACAACCCATCAACTCACACCCCCTTACATACAGATCTTGTCTGGAAAAAAAGTTCCAAAGAGTATCTAAGAGTCAGGTATTGAACAGTTACTACTGCGACGGGGCCACCCAGCGGAGAACAACCCGGCCCACCTGCACACTACCCGCAGGTGGGTAGTCTCAACTTCCTCACTACCCGCATCACCCCCGTACACCACTCACCACCTCCCTCTCACGTCGCTAGTAACCCGTCAGGTAATGCCCCGGGACCATTAACAGTCTACGTAACAATGTCCTTGGAGGTTCTCTGGGGCTAGATTCACAAAGCAGTTACACAAGTACTTACGAACCTGTACATCTTTTCTCAATCTTCGGCGGCTTTGTTTACAATTAATAAACAGTTACTGAGCGCCGAAGCACCAGGAGGCTGTTTATAACAATAACAACAATTAATTGGGAAGTTTTCATGCTTGTAAACTGTTTAATAAATGTAACCAAATTCGTCAAAAATTGAGGAAAGATGTACACGTTCGTAAGTACTCGCGTAACTGCTTCGTGAAGCTGGCCTCTGGTGTCTACGTAACAATGCCCAGGGGATCCTAAGGTGTCTACGGAATGTTAAGGAACGCTGAGATCCAGTATAATTTCTTCACGCTATGTTTCTTCATGTTAAAACTCGTTGCAGACACTGACACAATGTTGTTGTTGTTGTTTAAGATATGCTACTTGGAACAAAAAGTTTCAAGTAGCACGGGCTATGGTGAGCCCGTTACACTGACACGAGACGGAGAGTAGTACAAGTGTTGTTTGGCTCGTGGACTACCCGGCGCAACAGTTGGCGGGAGGTGGGGGCGCGCGCGCCAATCAAGAGTCGTCGGGTCGACTAGATCGAGGCGACGTGTACCAACTTGTCCTCTTAACAAAGAACGTCGCTTTTCGCTCGTATGCGTTAGATAAGGCCAAAACTTGTACTAGAAAATGGAAGCGGATTGCGAAAGTGACGTACTGTCCCCCGTGTTCTGTTTTGGCTCCTCTGGTAGGTTAGGAGGGGACACTTTAAATTGACCGTTTTCTTGACGTTGGGGACCTTAGGAGGACGGACTGGCTGCTTGATGAGCCCACTCTACACTGGCCACTATTGAGGCGGACATCACAACCAAGGGCATCAATTATTAGGCACCCTCATGCCCCGTGGATAAGATCATAACGACAGAACGACGACTACTACTAAGTTGATCCCACATCAATCACGTCAGTACAAGTACACTTAAATCCTTGTGATTGTACAGTGTAGCTTAAGCTTTATTTCAGATAAACATGAGAACCCATATGTCTCTCTGTGGTTCTCGTCTCCTCAAACTGTTCACATTGCTATTTATCAGGAGTCTTAATACTCGAAGAATTCGGTTACAGTTGTGAAGAAAATGTATTACAAACCCAACAAATTGTATTAACTAAAAGACACAAATAAAGTACTTCATTTATAGTGTGTATAAGTATCCACCAAATACTGGTAATGAATCTCTAACTCCTCTCACTTCCAGGCGGATAAATTGATTATATTATTTTGCTCTGGTATCTTGTAGGATATGTTTGTCCATGACACTGACCTGTAATTTTGTGGTTCCTGTCTGTCTTAAGTTAGTACCTGTACCACATTTGCCGTTTTCTATCTGCTTGGTAGCTCCTTTTCTCTAATTTGTGCTGACAATTGTCATTAGTGGCTTTTCTAACATTTCCGGTGCTTAATGCAGCATTCATTATGAGAGATTCTCTGCTCCTCCTGCATTTGATCCATCCAGGGCCTTGAGGCACTTCTCAACCTCGTCTGTTATCATAATGTTAGGTATTCTTAGTCCAGTCGATCTTCTCTCTCTCTCGTTTGTCAGATAGCTGTTCAGATTCCCCTTGTAATAACTCTCTGGAGTCTTGTGTAGAGTACTTCATTGAGGTACTTACTGTTTAAAACATTCATTGTGGTTTGCCTCTTCAGTTTGATCTGTTACTTATAGTCAGGTTCATAGTGTGGGTGTCTTGTCTGACTCGCAGTAATTGAAAGTCCCCCACTTATTTGCTGGTTCACTCGTAATAGTTACATTGTGGTGGTTTGTGGTTGTAATGTGTGGTTGGTGGTGTGGTTGTAGTGGTGTATCGTGGTTTTGGTGGTTGTGGAGAGGGTTTGTGGAGGGGGTTGGTGGCGGCGTTGGTGATCCAAACTAAAATGTTTGTTTGGTGAAGGTGTGTGTGTGTGTGTGTGTGTGTGTGTGTGTGTGTGTGTGTGTGTGTGTGTGTGTGTGTGTGTGTGTGTGTGTGTGTGTGTGGAGCGAACAATGAAAAGCGCGGGTTCAAAAGGTATTTATTTGTCCAATCTACTTCTTTAAGTCATGCACGGGAGCTGTTGTAATATTCCGCTTCCAATAACCTGGCGCCCAAGTTTCCCACTCAAAATACATTTGCAAGTTTCATTCGACTGAAATTCTTTTGCCAATAATGTTTATATGCATTTAAGTGCATAAAATTTGTTATTAATGATAAAATTGTTCATTATGTTTTCACATTTTTAAATTGTGATGTTTTTTTCAAACCCTTTGAGAGAATGATATACTTTTATTAAGTTATCAGTGAACTTTCTAACCCGATCATATATATAAACTTTAACCAGAGCTATCTATTAACAACTCCCTCCCTACTTGGTCAATTGAATCCTCAGACTATAATTCAATCTTTCTCACTGCAAAGTTGTGATGTATGTAAGCAATGTTGTTGGGGGGTGATGTTACTGGTGGGTGGTGAGGTTACTGGTGATGGATGATGGTGATGGATGACGGGTGTAGCAGCAGGACACCACATCACCACCAGACACCACCACCGTACCATGAGGTGTCCCGCCTACCCAACCATACGGGTCTTAACAATGACAAATGTCTCCCTCATATAATTATCCCCTCACACAGGTTCCTCCCGTATCTCCCCTCGACTGCCCTCATGGTTGTCCAGACCTCATGGATAATCTTTAAGGCGCCTACTCTCTCTTTCTTTCTCTCCATCTCTCTCTCTCCATCTTCCTCTCTCTCGCTCACACACACACGAATGCCATTGTTCTGGACGTGGTGGTACACAGAAGCCAAGGCAAAAAGGACCCTCTCGCCATTCTTATGCAACTCTCCTTCTTCCCTACTAAAAACCCAGGCAATATTTCTACCCCTCATCCCACCCACACGCCTCGTACCCTAACCCCCCGCACACTTCCCTTTTATCCCCCTCACCCCCCAGGACCCTCAGGGCTGTAGGGCGACACCCCCTACAGAGGGCTGCATGTGACTTGCAACATTCACCCAGTGACACTACTGCATTCACCCAGTGACACTACTGCATTCACCCAGTGACACTACTGCATTCACCCAGTGACACTACTGCATTCACCCAGTGACACTACTGCATTCAACCAGTGACGCTACTGCATTCACCCAGTGACGCTACTGCACTCACCCAGTGACGCTACTGCATTCACCCAGTGACGCTACTGCATTCACCCAGTGACGCTACTGCATTCAACCAGTGACGCTACTGCATTCAACCAGTGACGCTACTGCATTCACCCAGTGACGCTACTGCATTCAACCAGTGACGCTACTGCATTCAACCAGTGACGCTACTGCATTCAACCAGTGACGCTACTGCATTCAACCAGTGACGCTACTGCATTCAACCAGTGACGCTACTGCATTCAACCAGTGACGCTACTGCATTCAACCAGTGCCGCTACTGCATTCACTCAGTGCCACTACTGCATTCAACCAACACTCTCATCACCCACAACTACCACTACACACCTCTACACACCTCACGACGCTGGAAAACAGTAAAAGAAGACATGATCACTACCTACAAAATTCTCAGATGAATTGACAGGGTAGAGAAGGATAAACTGTTTAACACGGGTGGTACGCGAACAAGGGGACACAGGTGGAAACTGAGTACCCAAATGAGCCACAGGGACGTTAGAAAGAACTTTTTCAGTGTCAGAGTAGTTAACAGGTGGAATGCATTAGGCAGTGATGTGGTGGAGGCCGACTCCATACACAGTTTCAAATGTAAATA